ATTTAACTAATTATGGGATTTGATTTGGATAGGATTCATTCAATGGAATTTCTTTATGCTATATTTAATTTTTTGCTTTGCTTAGTTCTACATTTATTTTTAGCATACCTCAGCTGTGTTGTTTATGAATGAATTTTATCTTACAAAGCAACTGTAAGTCCCTTTATTATAAAAGAAAAAAATAGTTCTTGAACAATATATTATATATATATATATATATATATATATATATATTTTTTTTTTTTTTTTTCAAAAAACTAATAATTTAATGTCTTATCTTGTCTATTAACAAATTATATCAAACTCTGTAGGAAATTAATTACATTGTATTTCTATTAATATGAAAGTTTTTACTACAAATAATACAATACCAATATGTCAGTATTAAATGTCTTTCAATATTAAATCTTTTATCGACTGATAGTTTTTGTTAGTTACATATAATTGTAAAATGGACCAATTAAATGTATCATTTATTGAAACCAAGAGTATCTTTTTAATTGGATATAATTATTGTATAAATCAATGACCGAAATCTATGATTATATTCTTGATTACTTATTGCATTATTAAATGTATAAATTTCATCAAACAATACAAATAAGTGATCTATAATAAAATAGTTCTTTATAGACAATAATCCACATCCTCCACCTCGTTCATTTGAAATTTAAAATGTGAAGTATTTAATTTTTTCAATAACAATCAAGATTCAAGGTCTAAAATCTATTTGTTCCATGCTTTTTAAAAATGACGAATTTATTATTTATTTATATCTTAAATTGAAAAAAAATAATTCTCGTTATATTAAATCTACATAAACTGAAGGCGTACCATATGATTTTAAACATCAGTTGGCCTTATGCTCTGGTTATTAACTGCGCTGATTTACATGATACAGTTTTTAATATTAATTGTGCTTTGGCGTATTGTATTATTTTAACTTTGGCTATTTGACTTCTTAAATGCCAGTACCTATCCAGTTTTGGTCTTCAGGGAATACTCGGTACACTGAACATAAAAAAAAAAAATATATAAATATATTAATGATTTTATGTTTGACTTGTAATTTGTATAGGTAATAATAATGCTTTCCGTGATATTCTCGTTGAATTTATATACCCGTTATGGTTATATATGCATTTTTGTTTTTTTTTTTTTTTATGTGGGAACTATTGGTGTCTATATAGTAGTTTATTCCGTCAATTTTTTTTTTTTTATCTCAACATGTATCTAGTAGATGGCGGAGATGTACCTATTATCATTGTCGGCAAATTTTACAACTTAATAATTGATTGAATTAAAATGTTAGTCAATTATATTTTAAAATGTGTACATTGTCAGTATACGAAACAATAAGATCATCGTACTCTAAGACATTGTATCAGGCCACTCGACTAGTTTGTATGGCATAACCACAACTTTTTTATTTAAACCATTAAAAAACCTTTGTGATGTTGAAATGTTTAAACGATCAATCTTTGTATAATATTTAATATGACATTTTAGTTATTTTTATATACCTATTACATTTTTGGACAGTTTGATTAGATTTACAGTGTCAGAAACAATTAGAAAACTCATCACATTATTTAATTATTAAGTTTATACTAGAATTCTAATGAATAAAAAAAAACATATATGTTGCATTTTTTTTTTCTATTGTAAACAATTAATTTTTCCAAATTTCTATGTATAATTTTTTAATTAATATTTAATTGTAATGTAATACTGAGGTTTGTTGGTTAAGTTCTCATTTGCCAGATTTGTTTTGTAATATAAAATACAAATTATACTGTCATTTTGTAATATAAACTTGTCTATATAATACATAATAATATGTTTATTGTTTTATTTTTTTTTCCTGAAATAATTATTTGAGTTTTAAATTTCAAAAGCTTGACCTATTTTCCAATATTGTATTACACAATAACAAAGGTACCAACTGGAAGTTTTTCTTCCTGATTTTTATATCCGTTTACTCTGCGGAAATTGTCCTCGAAGTATACGTGTTGTATAATACGTTTAGATTTATGTTCGAGTATTAATTTTGCGGAGTGATTTCCATTGATCCGTCAACACAGAAACACACGCGTTTTCATGAAAAAAACCGACTTTAAAGAATTGGAGTGATGAATGTATTAAGCAAAAAAAAAAAAAAATGATTCAACATTATTAATAAGACTTTTTCTTTCTCGATGCCTATAGAGATTCTGTGACACTTCCATAGTTCCACCTTCCACGCGCATATTATAAATATTGTTGCATTCTATGATATCATCATCTGCTATTCAGGTTATTTCAACAAGAAAAATAAGTAACGGTTACGATTTGTGCGGGTGTGCACGAATTCATTCGTCGTGTAAAATAATTTATAATAAAACGTATAAATTATAATTTATATTAATACGCTTCGTTATATAAAAATACATTACAGAAAGACAAAAAAAAAAAAAATGTGATAAATTCAGAATTTCTTTAATGCGTAATATTTGTTTATTTGAACGCTTTATCGTGCATACGAGTTTATTAATCCGTCGGTGTACCTAAATAACTATTGTTAAATTACGTTACCAAATTCTGTTGATATTAGTGTAATTTTAGCACATAGACTCACAGTTTTATACAGGTAATTGGTAAGTACAATTGTCAATTATTACCCAAACACAAGAACTTCGCGCCAATATGCGACCTGCGAGGTTGTAGAAGTATGTAGACCTTTCAATCGTCTTGCAGACTTGTTTGTAATTTGTTGTAATGAGTTTAAATTTGGCGTAAATCACATAAGAGCTTATACCTTTAGTGAACTACTGTTTTCACGTTTGGAGTTAAAGTAATGGTTAATTTTGTAGCTCAAAATAAATAAAAAAAATAATTTTTTTGTTTCATACAAATACGAGTATAATATCTAAGTAGATATAGTTAGTTATTATTTTATTTATGTTTAAGTACCCATTTAATGACAAACGATTTCATTACATTAGCGACACAAACTTTGCTTTAGAAGTCAATTTTATAAATAATATCCATATGTATGTTATTTTTATGTACATTGTTTATTATACACTGCTTTCACATGCGTAGCCAGTTTGAAAAATAGCCCCCTAAAATTCAGACGAAGACCTCCACGAGTCGGTATACGTGTCTACCCCTAGGAAGGCTACAGCTTCTTCGAAAAATCTTGCCACCCTACGCGTATGACTACATTAGTGCATTACCGTAAAATACACCGACATTAATTAATATAATGATAAATATTATTAGCTCAAAGTACTCACAACATCCGCGATTTGCAAATGTATAAATACTTTATTTATTTTATATTAGGTTAGGTACACCTAATATAAAAGTTTATTCATAATTCAGTTTTTTTTTTTTTTTTGTAACTAAGACAGAAAACGTCTTATTGCAGAATAAAATAGGTATCAGACTTGGTATCATACTGTACAACATTAAGATATGTACGTACCAACTCGAGCACAAGCAATTATTCGATCAATATACGTCCTCAGGGTCGGATTAACAGGTGTAAAAGAAGCTTTAGGGTGGTACCTTTCACGTATAATCGTATAGTATTTTTTTATGCCTATGAGCAATGGCGTAACTAGAATTTTAGGTGCTCGTGGCATAAAACCTTCTGCGAAGCACCTAACATTTTTAAAATAAACAAAATATAATTCTTTACTTTTTTTTAATGAAGAATAATAAAGTTTAATTATGACGTAAAGTCAACTAATTGATTCAAAACGTGCCAAAGGACATAAACGTATTTTTAAAAAGTACTATAATAATATAGTAATTACCTATTATTGATTCATTTGACATTAAGTACAGCCAGCACAGGGAAAAAATTTAAACAAAATGTACATAAAATTATTTAAAGTATGAAATAAAAAATGAACACAAAAATATTATTATAATATTAAGTACACGTTGATATTTTATTGATTTAAATTTTTCAGCTCGGTTGCCCCAAGGCGTGTGCATTTGAGCCACTTAGGCCACCCAACATTTACGCAACTGCTTATGAATTGGTACACGAAGTATATACCTATTGTTTTGAATTTTAATAGCTCCTCACTAGTCACTGATAAGGAGCTCCAAATAATATATTGCTTTAGGGCGAATCGGATCCTTAATCTGGCTCTGCCGTATGCGTCGTGTACAAACTCGACGAAACACGCATATTATCATTATGTTCGTTCACAGGTCATTGTTTATTCTTTTTACCGTGATTGATTATTCAATATTGTTTTCAAAACTAGTTGGCTGAATGGAATAATATACGGCCTTTAGATTATAAATCGTATATGCAATATGCATAAAGTGCCATAATAGAAAGAGACAATGAAATCACGAACCCGTCACTGTCACGTTTATTCCATAGTGTTAAATTAGCCAACGGGGTTCTTATAGAAATTTAGATTTTAAATTATCGTGTTCGATGGACTCATATAATTACTCACAACATCTGCAATATGCAAATTTATAAATATTTTATTCAAAATTTGTATTAGGCAAATGTATCATATTATTTACTTAACTTAACCCTTAGATTATATATATATAATATATTATATAAGACTGCTATATGCCTGTATCACTGAATAAATGAAATCTCATTGAATCTGAAGTTATATTTCAAATGAATTGTGTTATTTATAAGTAATTAAAAGATTTATAGTCGACATAGAAATTCTCATTCGAAAATCTGTAATAGGTTAGGTACCTATTTTAAAGATCTTTGAAAAATTACAGTATCTGAGGTTGACTTTCAAAGTCACAAATATACGTGCAAAGCGATCAAATACCAACACAATTTTACATTTTTACGTACCACGTACGTCATAATATGTTATTAATACTAATAGATATGTAAAATGTATTTATGCACAGATAATTTACTATATATATATATATATATATATTATTTTATTATTGACTAACAATTAATAACACGAGTAATGCATAACAAAATGTAAATAAAATAAATAATTTTATCTTTAGGTATCTACTAACTAATTACCAATATTTTTGTTCACACTCTACATCAATTTTATTTAAATCTGTATCATCAATAATCACTTTATTCCCGCATCATTTGTACTTTGTTTTCATTTAGTAAGTGAAAATCATTTAAAAATTAAAATAATCGAAAATTCGTTCGTGAATATCACTAAAATGGACCTATTATATGTGGAAATACTTAAATTATTAATGATTTGAAATAAATTGTGTTTGTATAAAATTACAAAGATATCTTGTTTTACATTAACCTTTGTACCTACGTCTTAATTTTATAACAATCAATAATAAATCATAGCTGTTAAGTACGGAATTAAAATGTATATACCTAAGCAAGTATTCAAGTTTCATTCACTATTCAAATGTATTATTTGTAAAAGCTAAAATACGACAAGGCCCGCCGGTACCTCCTATAATTTTGATTGGCTGGATAATAAGTTTGAATCCTTTTTGTGGTAATATTGTGCCATTTAAAGCTACGTTTTCGAGATTGTATAAGTTGGCTTTAGATAGTATTTTGTGCACATCATATGACGTTGTACTGCCTGCGTCGACACTCGGGCTATCTACTCCTACGCCAAATACTTTTTTGGAATCGACAATCCATTGTGCTGCTTCTTTAGATAGACCCGGAAAACTTAAAAAAATTATAGAAATATTTTACACGTAGGAAAACTAATAACACGTTCTTAATTTAAAAATACCTAAATACTTTTAAATAATGAATGCAAAAGTTAATAATAAATTATATAAACTGTTATATTCTCAGTTTAAAAATAAATCAAACATTACATTTTATACAAATATTATTTTTAAATAAACCATTATTACCTTGATGTTGATCGCTCTGCATTGTTATTATAGTATAATTGACGATTTCTAAACTTATGAGCCCAACCAAAATTAACTAATATCACAGAACGGTTTGGGAGTGGACCATTGTCTTGTTCCCATTTTTTCAAATGATCGGTTGTAAGCAAAAATTCACCATTTCCATTGACCTCATGACTGACATTCAGATGCACACCTATTAAAACATATTTAAAATTAAGTTAAAAGTGTTATATTATTTTTGAAAATATTGATGAGTACTATTAAATTATTTAAAAATTTTATGTTTTCTATAGAAATAACAAATAACTAAATACTATAGTAGGTATTTTTAAATCTTCTGTAATGGTTTTGTAAATTTTTCGAATAAAAATCACATGCTATGAAATTTAGCACACAATATTGTTAAATTTTTCATTTTGAAGGTATAATAGTATTATTATTTTGTAGACCTTATTTTTATTATTCTAAGTTGTTTTTTTTTTTTTTGTAAATATGTTCAACATTTATATTTAATGAATGTATCTACAAGAGCAGTTTTAGTATTTAACTGTGTATGTTTGAAAAAATCGTACGCAATGAAAATATGAATTCATTCTCTATTCCCATGTCAAATTACTGTCTCAATGCCCCATAAATAAATTTAATTATTCGATATCTTTATTTTTATTTTATAAAAGTGTTTCTCTTCACGTATAAAGAGTTAAGACCATTAACGTATAAACTATAAATAATACAACTGGATAAATTTCTAAAAAATACAGAGATAAGTGATTCTGAGATTGCTATACTCCTTTGCGGCTAAAAAAAATTTACTTTGTACCAATAGCTTTAAATGATAATCATTACGATTGTAATAAATTTGAATAGTTATAAACATATAAATATTAGTTTTCATTTTATATTTTTAACAACCTTTTAGATTAAGGTTAAGTCATTTAAATTGAATTTGTGCACTATTTGGTTAATAACAAAATTATTAGACTTATAATTATTTATAGTTTAGTATACATATATATATATATATAGACCTATACGGTTTTTCTAAACGCTTGTATCATGTTTTAAACTGTAACTACTTGCATTCAAACAAAATTCAAATTTTAACCAATTACAAAAAATGATATATCTGGTATACATAAATATAAAAATAGAAGATCAAAATCTTTTTTTTTTTGAAAATCTAAATTTTCTTTGATTAGTTAGTTTTTAATCGAACATTATTGGATTATTTAGGTATAAATTTTTATATAGAGTTATCTATATTTTATTTTAACTACCTTCAACTATCATGCGTTCCAACGGAATATCATTTAATTTCCATCCATCTTGATAAAAGTGATAAGGAGCGTCTAAATGAGTGCCACAATGTTCAGATACTGAAAAACTCTGTGTTGTATACCATCTTGAACTTTCGCTTTTCTGTACTCCAAATATTTCGAACCGTTGCGTTGGACTCCAACATGTAAATTGATCTTGGTAACCATGGCATAAATCAATCACAATACTGCTACCATTTTTTACCACCAAAATTACCAAAATTAAGTTCCAATAGTAAAAATACATGATGAATTTAGTAGGTATTTACAAAATAAAACAAATCACTTGATTTATTAACAAATATTATATTTACAAGCAGTAGGAGCAGTAGGCACGACCTACTCTAATCTAATGTATGTATCTAATGTAATTATACTGTCTGTCCATACCATAATGACTTGTTGTATTATAAATATATCTGTAAATCTATATCTACTTATACATATACAAAGTGTATTACAACGATTTAACACATTCAAATGTAATTTTAATGAAAAATTGATATATTAACACAATACACTGTGTATATACAAGACGTATGTAATAAAAAAAAAATAAATAAATAGTGATTAGTATATATTAATAAGTAAATATAATTTTTGAATATATCAGTTTAAGTTTATTAGCATGAGGTTAAAGCCTATAGGTATAGGTTACTAACTATCAATAATCATTGTTGAATTATTATATTTACTATAATGTTAAACTACAGCAACACTACAACAGTAGGTACCTATTTTAAAGAAATAAAGAATATACTGGTTAGATAAATAGAAAGCAAATAAATATCCAAATAAAATTTATTTAAAAGTATTTTAAATATTACTTACCAATATAAATTGTAATTATGTAAAAATAATAACATCTAAAAATAATTTGTTATATGTAATACGTTAAAATAATTTAAAATAACATTAAATTAATATTTTATAGTTTGAATGTTTGAAAGGACAATAAATTAAATGCTTAGTTCTACAACCACTACAAGAATACTGTATACAAGGCGATTAACCAAGCATGCTCATCACTCACCCCGAATTTTTTAATTTAATAACGAAATTATTCAAAATCTAATTTTTGAAATATTCAGGTATACATAAAAATTGAATTTTTAAATTTATGAGATTTTTTTTTTGTATTACTAAAAACGTGCCCTGTCGTGACACAAACTTCTATTTATTCAAATAAAAATTAAAAACCCTCTTTTTTATACTTAATTATTTAGTGGACAAATTTTTAAAAAATATCGATGTACTTATCTAATTCTGCATGTTAATGAGTAGTTTTTCATGTTGTTTCACTCTGTATATTTGTACAAACACACAATTTTTTTTAGTTTGGAAAAATTATCATTTAGAGTAAACATAATATGGTATTAATCATTGTACCCACTTATTTTAAATAATTATATTTTTAAATTTTACATATTTTATAATAATACATAACAGTATAGGTTTCTACACATATATTTTTTTAAATTAGTATTAATTAAATTTTATTTTAAATGTGATTTAGATAAAAATAATTCTAGATAAATACCTTTATAATATTATGTACACGCGCATCGAATTTTAGAAGTATAGAAACTTGTATAAAATATGTATTATAGGTACACTGCAGTATATTAGTGTTTCTCAAAGTGGGCGATATAATTATCCAGCGGGCAATGGAAATTATTATAATCTCAATTAAGTGGCATTGCATTATAAAAATGGTTAGTAACTGTTTTTGTTTAAATTTTTCAATCTGAATTTTCCTTCAGTAATCGCATTATCGTAATGATGTACGACTTATTTTACATTGTACGTATAGTTAGGTATATTATATTTTCAAAATACTTTTTTTTGCAGATTACTATCAATAACGCATATCATATCAAAGGTGGATTTCGGAAAAACATCAGGCGCAATCATCTTATAAGAATAATATAAATTTAATTATAATTTATACATATTGACTATTGTACAATAAATTAATTTGCCATTGCCTACAATTTATGTACTTTTTTTAGAAAATATTTAAAAACTACTGCAATTAAATTAATTTAATCAGTCAGTCTAAAAAAGGTCATATTAAATAAATAATCAGTGCGTCAGAGTTTTTGAACATAAGTTGAGTAAAAAAATTTAGGAAACACTGTTGTATATTATTAACATTTACCTATAATGTTTACACCGCCATAAATATCATAAACATTTTTAATAAACACAAATTTCAATTACCTACAAAAAGACTATTTTTTACATTTTGTTACACATGTATTTTGTTTTTCAAGTACCTATACTAGTGAAATATATAAATGTTACATCATACTTTAAAATTAAAGCATGTAAACTATTTTGAAATGTTCATTATCAATAATTTATACTGTAGGGAAAGAGTGATAATGAAATCTTACCGTTTTTTCAAAGAAAAATAATATTTAGAACAGATGTCAAATATTTAAAATTCTGGCATTATATATTTTATGAATTTATAATCAAAATTTTAAAATATAATACAAAATTTTTATTATTACGCAATTTAATACCTATTGATTAAATACTAAATTTATAGTTATAATCCATCTTCGACTATTTGACCTAATTACCAAACAATACGATTTTATATTTACTTAGAATTATAAACTTACATCATTTTTAAAATAAGTTTTGTTTATAATTTATATTAGCATATTACCCTATAGTTTTGTATATATATTTATATGTACCTATTCTACATACTAAACGAATAGTTCTTATGTTTATCGCTAAAGCTAAGTTTAAAGCTAACCACCGGATGAACCTCTATGTTTCCTAGTTTTCCTGTGTTATTTTTACAAGGGAAACAGGATAATACGGCGCATTACGCGTCGTCTAAATACTAAACATCAATAATTTAAAACAATTTTTATTACATTCTTACAATTTACATGCATTGACTTTAAAGTTTGGAATATAGTGTATACAGATTTTTATTTAAAATATTTTACTAAAATACCAGTTCAAGCTTTTGTAAAGTGTGTACTTGTAGCAGTTACGTACTTAGACACTTTAATATACTAGTTAATTAATCATATATTATATGCATAGAAACATAATATATCATATTTCTATTACATATTTTATAAAATATATAAGGTCTTCACTCGAATACTGTTTAATTATTGTTATACTTATGAATCTATCAAATATATGAATAATAGATTATATAGCTAGCACAAACCGTCATCTTCTAAATCTAAATTATAGCATAATTGTACTACTTCTAAAAATTGTAAAAAGGTATTTACCACAGCCCGTGAAAAGGTCATTTCGCAAACATTAAAAAAGAAGCCTTCAAAATAATAACATCACATTCTAAAAAAAAAAAAAAAAAAACAAAATTAAAACTAACTCATTAAGTGAAGCAACTCACTTTCAAGTTTCAACCAGCCGCGAGGTTGAATTAATTTACACTATTCAAAACGTTAAAATGTCCCAATATTTTTTTGTAGATAAATGTATGAGATCTGTAATTAAAGTTTAAATTTATTCATCACTATTATACAAGATAGATATCAATACGATATTGATAAAACGATAAACTTATTCATTTACCATGTGTAAAATGTAGACGTACGTATTTATAATCATTAATCATTATTGTAATATTGCGCAAAAATTATGTATTAAAATGTATAATATAATTATATATATTTAAGCGAATCATTTCATCATTAAAAGTGAGAAGTTTAAAATCATTTAGCCGTGATTACTGACTACTGTAAACCTTTACCATCATTATTAGCTTTAAAATTAAAAATCATACAGTTTGAGAAAAACCAATTACACAATCGTTTAGAAAACTACTTATTATGCATTTAAATTTGACATGCGCTTGGTCATCTATACTATCTTCTCTCTCCAGTCTTCAATTATAATGAAAATAAGAAATCTATTAAAAAATAAATTTATGTACCTATTTATAAAATACAAATGTTAGTAACTTCATTAAAGGTTATTTTTAATTATATATCTAGATTCTTATGTAATTTTTATTGAATTGTAATAAATATTTAATGTTTTAATGTTTGTTATGCCTACATTGTGCAAATACCTTCGCTATGATTAAAACTTATAATTTATAAGTACAATATATCTACATAAATGAAGCTTGCAGGTATATAATATATTATAATATTTAGATTTATATAAATATATTAAAGATATAAAGGTATTTATTATTGTTAATAACTACAAGGACAGTAAATATACATATGTATAATATAAATTTACGAGTACTTATATACATTGTGTGTGTGTGTGTGTGTAGACGTACAGTTAATTCATTGGTTATGTTTTGTAATATTATAGATATTTATCTATATATTTATAGCAAATGATGCCTGATGACGCTAATGTACAGCCACAGATGTCAGTTATAGTTGTAGACTGTCGTTGGTTAAGAATAATTGTCATATTAGATTAAATAGATAAAAAAAAAAAATTATAAATTGATGAAGACAGCTACAAAATACTATTATTCTTAAGTATAATAAAAGTATAAAAAAGGGCCAGCGTACAGACGATTGTAAATTCGGTCCGAAGAAAAAGGTCTATTTTAAATTCAATTTCGTATTTTTTTTTTAGTACAAATGATGTAATAATCCAGAGAATATACAACGAGGAAAAGATTCTCATTATCCTCCAAAAATTATTATTTTCTTATTTTAATTATAAAATTCCAATGTGAAAATGAAATGATTTGCCTTAATATTCAATTATATTTGAACATCAAGTTATCCATGATAAGATATTAATACGTAATTTATTAATTTCATATTAAATTGCATCGTGTTCATACTATATTTTATTAGTAAAATTTGTCATATTGCCAAAATTACAATAAAAAAGGTAATCGCGGTTAGGGTTTATAAATTTCAACGTTTACTAAGTTATTGTGTCTCAAAAATATGTAAATTTTACGGGTACTATAGATACTAAATTCAAATAGTTAAATTATATTTTTGGAACGCAATAGCACAACAAATTAATCAATAAATATATTGTACACAGGTACCTCGACTACAGCATTAACCACTGTCTCCTATTGGTGTTGGCCTATGGGCAGTGACTATTTTCGGCGTTTAAAAAATGTATCAGTTGCCTTCGACCAAATGTACCAATTTCTCTTAAATATCATGTACACTATTATAATACTAACCCGTAAGGCTGTAAAATAAAAGAGGTAAATAAATTAAAATAAAATAATACACAGTGGCGGCGGGATATAGGATTATTTGAAGCAATTGCTTTATGTTTGAAAGCCCTTTGGCCACAGCTATTTATTAAGGATAGTGATAAAAGTATTTAAAATATACAATATGCTTCAAAACCTTCATAATTTCACGCCGCCACTGATAATACATATGATCGTAAAGTAATAAATATAATATTATTTATAATAATAATAACAATAATAATAGGTACTTGGCATACAACGGAATTTGTCAATAAATAGTGTAAAATGAAAGTAAAAAATATTAAACATTTCTAATTATGTAATTATTATATGTTTTATATCTTGTAATAATGATTAATGACTAACATATTTTACGAATTATTTTCTAATAATATTTTATTTTTATATTTATAAAATCTTCTATAGCTATACTTTTTTTTGTTTAGGTTTCATTATACTTATACACTCGTTTAATATTTTCCATCACGTTAACGGTACCGTCGGTACCAGAACTTTTCGTCTGTTAAAATGTACCTAATAAATATTTTTCTTCCCTGTTTTGTAGATTGACAATCATGTACATATAATACGCAATACCGTAATGGTACTTTGTTTGAAGGAAATTGATGCTTTTCAGTTAAGACAGTTTGGGCAAAGTTTATATAAAAAAAAGGTACTTTCGAAGGTAACTGTTATACTCTCCCCACCCTCTCCCAATCTGCTATACATATCCTCCTACAGATACTTATACGTATACGCCTGTGATATACAATATTCAGTCCTTCGACTAAGAGCATTAAGGTCTATTCGTTATTAATAATTATATACACCAATTTATACCTATATAGAGTCTTACAGATCCGTGACCTGATTCGTGGCCCAGGCCAGTATATATGATATTATGTATAGTGACATAAATTTATTCCGTCGTGTGCCCATTGTTTATACACTTACAGCAGCGATTGTGAAGATTGCGTAGAAAACTAAATGCGCGCGCACTGATGACACTTTATATTATATTGTATGAGCGATTAGATTACTTACCTACCTACCATCAATTGCAGGCACATACTCCAGATTTATCTACAACCACATAATAACAGTCGCAAAATAATAGAAATTATGTATGTATAGCACATGTCAGATGCATAATTTATTATTTATTAGTCGCATGTGTACACGGGTGGTTCAAGGGCGGTCTATGTAGCACATAACAAAAACAATAATAATAATATTTTTATGTATTATTATAATCATCATTACTGTTTCAGCACCTACCCATACATGACAATATAATAACATACTGATGGTTTTCTTCGTTTTTCGTGAAAGGGAAAGGGAACTATGTATATATTACTATACAGATACTATAGGTAGGTACAACAAGAAAATCAAAAACGTAATTACATTATTATATATATTTATATTCCACGAGCTGTTGCTTCGCGGGAGAAACAATAATCGTATAATATTATATGATATATAGGCTCAAGATGCGCACGTCGGGGGATGCTTGACTCTGCAGTCTCACTCACACGCGCTCGCATAATATAATATAATCGACGTGCAGACACGACGTTTGCGTGTGTGTGTTTATATATACATATATATATAAATAAAGTGTCTTACTAAAAATGATACATATAATATATTTATATATATATATATAAGCCCCGGTGTTCCTCTACTAGTCGCAATAACGGAATGGCAAGTGACGCGACACCCAGACGTTCGTCGTGTTAATTCGAATAATAAAATTAAATCGCGCCTATATTTATGGTGTTTTAAAAACTTACATCTACTTCTATTAATATCATACCAATCGGTCTTTTGCAGCAGTCGCCGTTACAATAATGGACTTGCGTTTCTATTTCGTCGTCAACATTTTAACCGTGAGTGATTACCTACTAATTAATAATTTATTATACGTGTGTTATTTTGTATTGTACCTACGTTGTGTTTAATTTATGCAATTGGTAGGTTTAGATAATATAATATAAGTGCAGGTAGACTTTAATTTTCGATAATTACTCTGATAATCGATTACTTAAATAAAAGATTACTAATAAATAGGCTAATAGCCAATAGGTAACCTATTGGGAACCTAACTATCAAAACAAGTTTAAGTCTTCACTTTTCTATTTGAAAATATAATTATCATATACCATATAAAATGTTTTTAATTTATTTGTTAAATATTATTCAATACTTAACAGAGGTAAGTTTAAAAACCGTTATTATATCATGTTAGCATAGTCAGAAATCAAGGGGATTTGAGTGGACCCACAAAAATATTTAAAAAAAGATCTTAAGCCCATACACGTATTAAGTGCCTAAATGCTAAATAAATGGTATAATTTCAAATTGTATTTTTAAAAACTTTTAAATTAAAATGCTTTACAAATAAATATTTTGTGTTGAAAATTAAATTTGTACAATTTTATAAACTTATCAAATTATATCACGTGAATATAAACATACTACATTTGTTTATCAACCAATCCATACCACACACAATTTTAATGATTAACTAAATCAAAATTTAAATAATAATACATATTCATATAGTTAAAATTACATTTTTTTTTAATTTATTAGGTATCAAACGTTGTAATTTAATAACTGAAATTACAAAATTTTTTTTATAAAAACTAGGTACTGGAAAAGATCATGATATCTCTTAAGAGTACTTAAAAACTCATATTCTGTGAAGGTATAGTCTACCCAAATATACATAAACTTTTACGGCTGGTCATATTATATAAGCTCTCTTTTTCTGCTAACCACTTAATATAGAATAAAAACATAAATGGAATTTTCAATGGTTGAAAATTGAAATGTTTAAAATAAATTCGATGAATAATTATAAACGCTGGGAAAGATTTATTGGAAAAATAAATAATCAGAATAAAAATAATTTTTTTATCTATCATTGATTTTTAAAGTGGTAAATAATCTTCAATACCTTTTCTGGTGGGAAATTAAGAATGTGAATTACAATTTATATTGATACTTAGACTACTTAAAGGGTCAAAAGTAAAAAATTCCCAATACTTTACTTATTGTAACCAAATGTTTATTTTGAAATTTTCTTTAAGTAGTATAATTTGTAAAAGTATAATTTTGAAAATATTACCTATGGTACTTTTTGAACTATTTATAGACTTTTAAATTTTTTTAATATTAATTTTCTATGAATTTCGATAAGAAATGTATGCACTATCAAAAATCTTGAAAATTTAACACAAGGTATCTCATAATAGGTATTAATAATGAAATTAAAAAAAAAAATTAATGAAATTCATAATGCTTTTTATAAGCGTTTTGTAGCTAAAATTCATAACATTTTTAGTATTTATATTGAAGATTTAAAAATTTTATATAATTACAATATGATAATTATATTATTAAACTGTTTTTTAAGAATTCTTGGTTTTTTATTTTTATCTATAACACGAATAATGAATTATATGGTGCGTGCCTCCTACTGGCTACTAGGAAGATAACTTATTTACATATATTATATATTACGTGATATCATAATATACTATGTTTAGATACCATGTCAAATATATAGTAATAATAGCATAATGATTGTTATTAAAATTAATTTTACCTTATAGTAGTTATAACTTATAACTGTAGATATATGAGTACCTAACAAATGTTATTACAAATTATATTAAATTAATAACTAATGTAAGTTATAAGTGTTATAACACATCTAAATAAAATTAACTATTTTTTTTTTTTTTTTTTTTTAATTAGAAATCATCTATTATGTAGTATATAATTGAAAACATACTCACGAGTCACGATCCACGTAGGAATATTGTAATATTATTGTTGTTGAAAATAACTTATCATTTTTGTCGGTACTTCAAAACAAGAACTAAAATCACAATTGTATTGAAAAATCTGAATTTAAAGTAAATTAACAATAAACTAGAACTCCCGACTAAAACATTCTAAAGAATACATAATCATATTTTATTAATACGATCACAGACAAATAATATTAAGCAATTGCTTAACTGTGTTTGCCTCAGGTGCTGCTAATTCACGAAGTCGTGTTCTCACAATGTGATTTGAAAACCAAAACGAATAATCATTTCACTAAATCTAATGTTGATGGATTTCGAAGAAAAGAAAGACAAACACCAGGTATAATAATATTTTAGTCAGTATCAGGGATGTCTGTATTTATTTAAGTAGCGCTATATTTTAATATTTTATATAATATATACTTAGGTACCTAATAAACGTATACACCTATATATATGACTGAATAAATAATATAATCAATTTAATCCATAATTTAAAGCCAAAAGTAAAGCTAATAATTGTGATTTATAAATATGAATTTGGCATTTGTCTGTCATTTCAGGGTCATCGTATTTAAAAATTTGTATTAATTTTCATAAACACATAAAACGTTAAACGACATAGAATTATATAATATATTTAAAATATATTTTTAGCCATAATAATAATTAGGATTTGGATGTTCGGTAGATACTAGGATATTAGGATATTAGGATATTAGCTTCCGAAAGCTATAGGTATAAGTTATTACTTAATATTTATTTATTCACCATAAAACGGACAAAGATAGAAAGAACAGGAAACGATAAGTTCGGGTAGCAAGGAGCTTCGCTACAAATGGGCCGATACTTTTTTCACACTCCCTAATAAATTAGTACACAGGGCAATTTAAGATAAAAATTTCCACAGAATTAAAAGATTATAAATGCCAGATGGGCATGGGCAATCGTATTATCTTAAATAGTAATAGGTACGCAGTAAATACGTAACGATGTCAACTTAATATAGGTACTCGTAGTACCTACAACTAACGTTTAATTATTTGTTCCTTATTATTTAACAATCCCTAGATACTATTTATTATTGTAAATGCACAAAAAACATTTAACTCACTAGGTAGATTTTTCTGATTTATTTATGCTAATCCCTATTGCTCTAGATGTCTACTAGGTATAAAAATCATCTCACTTACTTCTTCAACAGAGATACTTCAGGTCCATTAAAAATTGCTTGATACCAGTCTTTTTAATCTTAGTCCATGGTTATAGCGTGTAAGTAACTAGATGAATACGTTTGCAATGCCATTTCTAAATCAAATTTCGTTATTCGGACAGGTATGGCTTATAATATTAATAAAATTGTTACAGTGTTACCAGTTCTACCTATTTTAGATAAGCACTACGAAAAAGTATATTTACGATTTCCAATTAAATTAAAATATAATAATGACAAAGCAGTTGACCACACGACAATCTACAAATATCAAATAAAATTTTTAGATAAAACATAAATATATAAATACCCAGAATTCTAAAAATATACCTACCAAGTTAATTTGCATACACACTTTAACACTTATAAAGAAAATTTCTCATTCCCAAATGAAATGAAATATAAATCATTAATACCACTCCCGAACGTTCCAACTAAAAGATAACAATAACTTACCTAGTTTTATTTTGGAAGTATCTTTTTTTAAATTTTATATATATATATAGAATTTATTATTTTACTCTTACAATAATTGACGTTATGCTGTTATAGATCCATCCCGTATGTATTTACCACCGAAGATAGATTCTGTCGCATCTAGTGGTTTTGGAGGACAAATAGACGCATCAATTAATTTTGGTAATGGCAGCAATGGTTATGGAGAAATTGAAAACGTCCAAGACACATCTACAGTAAATCCAACAACAGATTTTAATAATTATGATCTATCGCCCACAACCATCAATGACGAGAGTGATACCGAAACTTCTCTAGGATTATTTGATACAATTACTCGTACATCAAATGGACCCGTTGCATCATCCTTAGACCAAAGTAATGACTACAGTACTTTATCGCCAGGAGGAAACAATTTCGGGCAAATTTTGAACAAGAATAATGATGATAATAGTGGTGTAAATTTACCAGAAGCTAACAATAACTATGGAACTTCATTGGGCACAACTTCGATACCAACTAATAACGGTGTTACTTCAGAGACGGGAATGGCAAACGGTTACGGACAAAACGAGCTATTGAAAACTGCTCAAAGTCAAGGACCGTCCAAATATAACTACAACGGAGCAACGACAGATAGTCAGTTTGGTCAGAATCCTAGCACAGTCGGCAATCAGTATAGTCAGCAAGGTACAGTTGAGAACACAGCAGGCGGTTATGGTAACATAGATCTTAGTACATCAAAAAGTGTGCTGAAAAATAATAATCGAATTAGTGATCAGAATGTCTACGGTCAAGGAGGTAACGGAAATATTGATCCAAACAAAGGTCAATCATTTTCCGTAGACAACATTGGTTATGGTGACACAGTACCCAACTCGTTTGGTCATAAATATACAAACGGCGAGTACTCGTATAGTCAAAATGGAAATGGAAATATGCCTAAATCACAGTTAAGCATTGAAAAGAGTATAGACATCTCAAACAATCTGCCTTATATTAGTTCAGTTCCGAACATCCAAACACAAGATAATCCAACAAGTAAAAGTACATCGCAGTCCAACAATATCATTAATGGAAATTATGAACGAAATGAGTTTCCCAATAGTCGCGATTTTCGAGCTGGAGGATATAACCCAGGAGTATCATCTTCCGGCTATGAACAATACCCCAGTGGATCGAATCAAGGCATCTCAGCAACATCTCAAACTTATGGACAAAATGATTTTGAAAGACCAAACTCCAATTCTTATTCGTCGAATTCCAAAAATTTACTTTATTCTGGAGAACCATTCAATCAATTATTGCCAATTAATAATGGATTTAAACAAAGTTCGACTAACGCATATAATCAAAAGCCTACAGGAATAAATAAAAATCAAATTGCTGATACCTCCACTGTTGGCTCTCTAAGTTTCAATTCTGTAGGAACTAGTAGTGGAATACAGTCATCGGGAACATCATACCAAAATTCATACGGCCAGATTCCACCTGAAGTTCAAAGTTTCAATCAAGAACAAGGTTCATCAAATTACGAAGACGGGTTCAATTTAAACCCTCAAAGTCAATTACAAGGTTCTAACAATTTTGGACAGTCGGGATCTCATTCGATTGGATATGAAGAGAACTATAATCAGATTTCTCCAGCGTACAATGAATTTAATCAAAATCAACAAAACCAACAGCTATCAAATAGCTACGGGCCACCAACAAGATTTTCTCAACCGTTCATAAACGGAAGAAATCCTGTTCAAAATCCATCAAGTGGATCAGCGAACAGTGAATATAATAACCTAGGTAGACCGTCGATTGGACCTTATGTTAATGATCAAAGCCGTCCCACTACATCACGAATATCAAATAACTATAGTCAAACTAGATTTCAACCATCGTCTTCTAGTGGAAACGGTTATAGCCAAAATGATTTAATTCCACCCTTACGCGATCAACAGTATCAGGAAAGTTTATCAAACGTATTAAACGGTTTTGAACAAAATAGCTTGAGTACACCAGGAGGACGACCTAACAACTATGGTCCCGTAGGATTTCAGTCATTATCCACGACTAGCAACAACTTTAATCAAAATTCTCCAACAATTGATGCTTATTCTCAAGGAGCACTACAAGGTTCAAAATCTTACGGACAAAACGTCGTTAAGCCCTATTCCGTAAATAAAGGAAATATAGCTACGACTCAATTAGCTTTTAGTCAAAATGGCTTGTCCAGACAGAGTTCAGGTCAAGAAAGTTCCAGTTCACTTCCAGGTTACGGTCAAAATATAGGGCCTTGTGCTTCCAGAAATGGCGGAGATGCCAGCAAAGACAAAACAAGTAAAGGATCACCAGCAGATCCTGGCTATGGAATTCAAAATCAAAAAAATTCTGACTTACCGAGTTCAGGAAATGGAGTACAAATCTCTTGTAATGGTAACAACAATGGTGCTAACAACGGCGAACCAGGTGCAAATTCTTTTTCAAACTTTGCGCCGGGAAATCAGCCAAACCAACCAATCAATCCGGTAACTAATTCTTCTACTGCTAACAACAATGGTAATAACTACGGCGAACCAGGTGCAAATTCTTTTTCAAACTTTGCGCCGGGAAATCAGCCAAACCAACCAATCAATCCGGGAGCTAATTCTTTTTCAAACTTTGCGCCTGGAAATCAGCCAAACCAACCAATCAATTCGGGAGCTAATTCTTCTAATGCTAACAACAATGGTAATAACCAAGGCGAACCAGGAGCAAATTCTTTTTCAAACTTCGCACCGGGAAATCAGCCCAACCAACCAATCAACCCGGGAACTAATAATTGTGATACGAATAAGTATGGCAATAGCATGAATAAAGCAGTTGTATCACCTTTAAATACAGGTTACTAACAACTATTTTAAGCTTTAGTTACTTGAGCAACAAACTATTCAATAACACTTAATAATTGCATACATTTTTTTTTTGTTTTTTTTTTTTTTTACGATATTTAATTTTAAGAATTTTTTTTATAATAAAACAATAAATAAATTCATGTTGGTAATGCATTGACTAAATTTATATTTTTGTAATAATTGTAAATCAAGTAACTGATTATTGAAAAGTTTTTACAATAAAAATCGCCAAAACAGAAAAGCACATACAAAAATAAATGTTTACAAAAGTTATTTAAATTAGGTACATATATTTCACTCTAAAAATTGTATCTTAAGATATCCAGTTATTTTCAAAACTGAACACACAAAATGTACATTTAACACATTTTATTATTAGTGATTATACTAAAGAATAGTGAAATACATATTTTATGGATTTTAAATATATTTAATAATTTTTTATCGATAAAAATCAGTGTAATTTTTAATTACCAATAAAATATTATACAAATTATAATAAGATTATGTACCTATTACATTATAATATATTTGTATTATTCAATGTGCACAATTATTCATTAATCAATAGTTCTAATCTAAACCTTCAGTTGTAAATTATCTTAAATATAATAAATGGTTTTTAATTGATAATAAAAAGTAAAATAAAATTAGAAATAAAGTTCAATTAGCTACTTTATTTTTTTATAAAATAGCAGAAAGTAATCATAATTTAATCTTTAACTTCAGGCGATAAACTAAAACTATTTTCATTCCTAATTTTTTTTTTATTTTTACGATCTTCCGAAGAACTAGAGCTTGATTTGCGATGGTGCTTCTTTTTCTTGTCAAAATGTTCTTTATCCCTAGAACGATTTCTTTGTCTTCCTTGGGTTGATTTATTGTTGTATCTATCATCTTTGCGATATCTATTTCCATCTCTTTGCATCCGATCTCGACGAAAATTGTTATCAAAACGACGTTTTGGTGAACGGCTTCTAGAACGTCTATCAAACTTCTTATCCATTTTTTGAAACTTTTCTCTACTTTCTCCTTTGCTTTTTTTTTTTGTATCACTTAAACGTTGGTCTGATTTTTTATGATCATGATTATCTGAACCATTTTTGATGTTGCGATCACGTATTATTTGGAATACATCTTCAATTTTAGCCATCATCTCAATTTCAGTTTTATCGTTTTGTTTGTCAGAATCCTATACAAAAATTAGATTAAAAAAGTTGAACATTTGATTTAATATTTTCATTTACCTTAGGTGGAGATCCTGGAGGTGTTTGTCCATTTTTACTTTTTTCATGTTTTTCTTTTTCTTCATGCCTTTTTTTTCTGGCTTCTTCGCGTCTTTTTATTTCTTCTTCTTTTTCTTTACGTTCAATCTCCATTTTCTAAAATTATATTTAATATTTATTATTTCGATAATATTAATTTTAAAATAATAAATTTTAAATTTACTTCAAATTCATTGAAAGTTATCATTTTTTTTTGTTCTTGTCTCCAATGGGGTGGAGTGTAACTTCTAGACCTACTACGAGATGGAGTTCGAAATCTGAGAGTTCCACGACCTTTAACAATACGACCAGATTTTGTAACACCACGAATTCTATTTCTTCTCTTTGCAGGTCTATCATCACTATCTTGTTGTTGAGGTTTCATAAGAAACATAGATGAAGGACCACCTCGAGACAAAAATCTATTAGGTGGTCCAGCTGGAATTTCTTCAGGGTCAATATTAGAAACAGATACAAGTGGATGTAGCTGACCTTCTGCATCATTTTCATCATTCTCTTCTTTTAAACGGTCCGATCTAATACAAATTTTATTTAATTAAATTTAAAATACAATAAAATTATACAATCATACTTCTTTTCTGTTTTTCTTTTTGATTCTTTTTCTTTCTTTTTTTTCTTTCGTTTTCTTTTTTTATCATCATCTGATCCTGAACTTGTTTCACTATCAGATGCACTTTTCTCAGTTTCTTCTATACAAAAACATGCAATATAATCATTTTTTAATATATTTTAAATAATTATATAATATGTGCAGTTAAAAATAAAACGGTCAATAAACATACGTTTAATTTTAGACTTCAATACAAGCTCTCCACATTTCACCACCTTTGCATCCTGAAGTGGTCGCGAATTTTTGTCAACCCCAAGTTCTTCAATCTGCATGACAACCGGTTGGCCAGAAACCACTCTTCCAAATACCACATGTATACTATTTTAAAAACAATTTATTAATACCTTTATGAAAATATTTATAATTAACTAACAGAATATTACTTACCCGTCTAGGTGAGGAGTTGGTTGTGTTGTTCTACAACAAACACATGACATACGACCAAAATTTTATTAGGCTATTCTGATATACTGATCCCATCAACACATTTTCAAATTACAAAATCAAAATTACATTAGTAAACATCTATTTTGTTTTTCCTAGAATGAACGATCTATGAAGTGAATACTACAATTTTTAATACTTATATCACTGATATCTTTTAAATTTTAACTGAAAAATAATTGTTCTGAGTAATATATTTGAATAACATGAATAGTTAAGATTATTTTATTAATTTTAAAACAAATGATTTTTTTTTTTTTTAATGTAAATTTCATATTTTTTGGCGTATATAATAATAATTGCATATTTTTAATAAATCAAATGCTTATTTTACAATTTTTTATTGCGTATAAATCCTAGCCCTAATAATAAGCTATAATAAGCTATTAAAAAACAGATTATTTAGTCTCTACACCATATTTTTTTTTTATACATTTCATCACGACTCAAAATACCAAAATTGTATTATTAGTGTTTTAACATCAAAATTATTTTAATTTGTTGAAAATAATAGTTTAGAATTAAAGTTAAACAATAATTTTAAACAATTTAAATAAGAAAAAAATGGTTTTAAATTGGAAAAAAATTTAATAGATTTAAAATGTAATAATTGATAGTTCTAACTAGTTCCAAATCTTTAGAAAAATATATAAAACTGACTTAAATTATCAACAATTAAATGTTTACCAAATATAATAATAATTATGTTTTATAAATAACTTATAAAATTATTATTAATGATTTACTATTACTGTTTTCAATATTTAAATTTTTATGACACATATCAAAATCTAAAATACCCATTGGTATAGAAGACAAAAAAAATGTTAACATTTATAATTATAGTTTCAATCTGAGTAACTAATTGTAATTTGTAATCAAATAACAAACTTGTTAGAGTTATATTTCTTAAAACTTACATAAAAAATTGAGAACCATTTGTATCTGGTCCTCGATTAGCCATAGAAAGTAAAAAAGGTTGGTCATGTTTCAAATCAAAATTTTCATCTAAATACAGAAATAAAACAGGCTATATATTATAACTCTTCTTAAAATTTATGATATGTTAAATTAATACCTGGAAAAGTTCCTCCAAATATAGATTCACCACCTGTACCGTTTCCAGATGAAAAATCTCCACATTGTACCATGAATGATTTGACAACTCGATGAAATATTACACCTTGGAAATGCAAAGGTTTACCAGTAGTTTTACCCAAACCTTTTTCTCCTGTACACAATGCTCGGAAATTTTCACAAGTTAGCGGGCAAAAGTCATCAAACAGTTCAAACACAATACGACCTAAAAGAATGTTATCAACGGCTACATCCATAAAACACCTAGGACGTACATGTGTTTTTACTAATTCAGTGTCAACTCCCATTATGAGCACTAATTCTGGAAAAAAAATACCAAATTTCATCAATACAATTATAAATTATAATGGTGAACAATTAAAATATAGTAAAAATAAAATCTAATTTTTCTTATACAACTTGATTATAACCTCATGAAGTCATAATACATGGAAAAAATATATAGATATTTTGTTAACAAAATTAAACTATACATCAATATCACTTTATTTAAGACATTTATTAAATATACACTTGAACTATTTGAACAGTTAGTTATCTGTACTTAAAGTAACAGGAAATAATTAATTTACACCAAATGTGTATTAAGAGTACAAAGATAATATTATATTAAAACAATATTAGGAAAATAAATTGAAATTGACAGAAAAATTTACAAAATGGCAAAAAAAAAAGAAAATTGTAGAATTAATACAAATTCTTGACCACTGTTTATTTTGAATAATGACTGATAAACAAATAGATGCATAGATTATTTATATTGAAAATATTTATTTAAAAAAATGTTTTTTTTTACTTATTTACAGTAGATATACCTCTTAAAACATATTATTAGGAAAAAGTTAAAATAATAAATCACATTAAACCAAATTTAATACTACTGTAATTAATCTAAAGAAAGATTGAAAAAATGCATAATTATAAGTATTTCATTTGACAAAAAAAATAACTAGATAAACCTAATAAATATTTCTAATACTAAACTGCATCATAAAAAATTATTTTTTTCTTTAACAGGTATCATAGTAAATTATAATAAAACGTTATTGGATAATAATCAAATAAAACCAAACTGTATAAACACGTTACAAGAAACTTGAAGCCAACTTATAAAGGTTGTTATATAATAAATAAAAGACTATAACACCTGACAACAATAGGTAAACAACAACAAATGTACCTACAATTTACTCAATAAGAAAACCTTTAATAATTAATATCCAAACTCGTGAAAAACGAACGCATTAAGGAAAATTAATAATTATTATTTTGTTTATTATTGTTAACGTGTTACGAAACTTCTAGATAAATGGCTACTACTACGACGCCACGGCGGGATTCAACAAAAATAGAAACAAACAACGAGTAATACTTACGCGATGTACCGACAATCTAATGTAGTAAAATCCAAATAATTCTTAGTTATCGTAATTTCCCGTGTATCACAAACTTTAAAACGTAAGAACTGAACTGAAGAGTTAAAAGTGAAGAGTGAATAAATCGGAATTCATAATTGAAAAATATCAAAAAAAGAATAATAACACGGCGGCGACAACACGTTCTATGAAGAGAGCGTATTAAACAACATGAACACTCAACACACTAGATACACGGTGACGGTGTGTCGGTGTCACGAACCGTAGTCTCGAACAGCCCGGCGAACCTTTTTATCAAAGTAAAACAAAAATGGGTTCAATGCCAGTAACTCGAAACGACGTACGGTCACGGCGCACATTCATGTGGAACAATAATTATTATTATTCAAATATAAATATTATAGGTAGGTAGATAATAGGCAAAAAAAATTCACTAAAAAAAAAAAAAAAGCATCAATAGTGAACACGCTGCAGTGTTACCACTCATACAATAACTACTGTGCAGCTTCTATTGAAAACACCAATCATTTATTCTCATGATCAGTTGACGGTAGTTAGGCACTATTTTTTTATAGTCAGTGTGTAAAGATCTTTATTCTTCATAGTCAGGACTTAGGACAGCAGTGGCGGCGTCAATTATTGTTTAGTAGGGACTGGGGAGAGCGATACGGGCAAAATTAATTTCTGGTAGAGCATTTAAGCACAGCTACTCGATAATTGGTAAAAAACGACAAGGTGAAAAACATTAATATATATTGTCAATGCATTATTTACAGTATATTTAATATAAATTTGATTGAAAACATTTCCAAAATATAATTGGCAATATGATTTTAAATCTTATATCTATCCTCCATAACCCCCCCCCATAAATACACCACATACATGTAATGTACATAGTAAATTATCACATGGAAAACAATTTTTTTTTTTTGTGTACACTAAACATTTTATTTATATGATATTAAATTATGTATAATTGTCATAAGGTATAAATTACCCAAATACAATTTATAAAAAAAATATTATTTAAAAACTATGACAGGCTAGATCAGTGGTTTTTAACCGTTGTGTCGGGGGGCACACTGGTGTGCCGCGATAAATCCCCATTGATGGAGTTAATTTTGTATATATATAAATATATGTATTATATATAAAAACATATGCTTCACGCATTATACGAATTGGTGTGCCGCAAAAATTTTGTAGAAGAAGAAGTGTGCTACATTGTTAAAAAGGTTGAAAACCACTGGGCTAGACGGACACAAAAAGAGGTAAAGAGAACCGATGGCGTTCGTGAGAGTAGAACTGGCCGCGGTTTATCTATATTCACGTTACCGCAATCGGCCCAAGGTGATCAAGCGGAGTGTCGGACATGTGGAGTTGCGGGCACGCTAAGATCGTGACCAACTAGCGGTGTCGGCGCGACCCGTGCGATGACATGCACTTGAATAGTTGAATGGTGGTGGCGGACAATGACAGAGATTCGGGCGAATGCTAGTGCACTTGCAATAGAGTGCAAGTAGTGCAACGGTTGCAACGTGAGGCGGCCAGCTGCTGGTGCTCGGCCAACGGGATTCCGTGGCAAACACCCGGTGAACCACCGCACTGGTTCGAATCCTATGTAGGTACGTCGTTTTCGCCCAGGTGCCCCGCCGCCGGTCGAGTTCGAACTGCCGTCAGCCAATGCGCCCAAAAGCGCTGCGACCGGTTGTAATATAACAATGAAACAAAACTATGTTTTTTAAATTTAATCATTATTCATACTTGAAATTTTCACGAAATGTTTATATTATAATTTTTAATTCATGGTATAGTTTTTTTTAAATATTTTGACTCTTTTTGAGCTATTTATAAATTAAAGGTATGAGATGAATACTAATAAAAAAATATTTACTGGGTCGTAAAATTTATTAAAATTTAATCCAAGATCCCACAAGTTTTTCTTAAATTTGTACAAAAATATTAAAAACATTTAGGTACCTACAATTCAAAATTGCAAAAATTTTTTAACTATTTTGTTGTTAAATTATTAAAAATTCATAAAAAATGTATAAAATACTTAATTAAATAAAAATCGATTGTGGGAGGAGGTTACACACAACACACCCCACATAATATAAGTGCTCAAATAAAATTAAAGAAATATAATAAGTAGGTATAAGTAATAGGTACTATTGTCTATTTCATCAATTAATAAAAAATTTCTAATAATTTTAATAATTGATATTTACACTCTATAGGCATATATTCTATGCACAGAGAATTAAAGCAAATATTTTAAACAAAATTTTGCTTTTATAATATTTTCTAATATGTGACATTTCATTTCATTTTAATGCCAAAAATTTAATTTTTAAGATGCATACCTACTTCAAGACACATATTATATCCTCCTTAAATAATGAATTAGTATTGATTAGTGTTCACAAGACCAGCTTTCTCACATGGATTTTGCAATGTAACAATAATATATATTTTATTTATACTTCTCAAATAAACACAATGACTTCAAGAAATTGATTCTTGAAAGTTGATAGACTTATTTTAATTAATTGCATCAATATAATATAATACATTCCATAGGTACTTGCATTTGTAAAAATACAAGACAAATTGATATCATATTTATGCATCAAAACTATAAACATAATTTTTTTTATTTACTTACCATTAACTTAATATGAAATTTTTCGAGTGAACCATGGTTCAAATACCACAAGTATTGATATTTATATATGTATATTAGTAATAATTTTTACAATACCAGTATAATACTCATAGCTATACTTGGAACAAATTTTTTGATGGAGGGGGTTAAATCTCTAACTCCCTCGCCTAGGTTCAGCCTTGAGTATACCTTATAATCTAATTAAGTGATTTGTCTCATTGTCGTTTCTACACTGAAAGATAAAATTACATGTATAATAATATTTAATCATAAATTTGTTTAATAATTATTATTAATTGCACATTCATTAGAAAGTAGAACATGACTAACAATACTAATTAGTTCTATTAGTTATTGATAAAACTAATATTAATACTCTACGTTTGATAACTTTATTTATGACTACATTAACAAAAATAATTCATCTTAATACAATTTTTCCACAGACGAAAATTAACAAAACAATGTAACTATTAGTAATAGATAATTTTTTGTTTAAATAATAATTATGTATTTAAAATGTTTATGTTTGCAACTTGATACATTTGATTTTTACTTGGATGCATCTATGAAACATTAGACACAAAATATTATTATTTACCTAATATTGAATACAAGGTGATTACTTTTAAATTAATTTCTAACTAATAATCAATTTAGTATATTTTAAATATTTTATAAATCTTTGAACTTCATTATGTTGATACTCACTTAGGTAAAACCAATCAACATTAAATACAAATAGTAAATCATATAATTTACTCAAAAACTATTTTATTAATAAATACATTAAGCCATAATGGTGTAGTGTGCTTACAATTTAACAGCCCACTACAACAGCTGATAAGTAAATTAAATACAGAAATTAATCAAATTAAAATTAAAATATATGAACACACCATAGTTATGAGTAAGACAAATGATAAATGTTATATAAAATATATATGAATATAAGAATTTTATTAAACTGTATTTCTGCATAACTATTGAATGAAATATATTTTTTTTTTTTATAAAATATATTTATTAAGCTCAAAACATCATTGTGAGCATTAATTAAAATTGCTTTGTTACGATAAACCTAAATAGCATAAACAGTTAAATTGAATGACAAAAGTGTTGTAATTCAGTTTTTGAATTTATTTAACAATTACATTTGGATTATCAAATTAAATATTAACATTAAAATTGTTATTAAATTGTTATATACATGACTTAAATAATAGTAATAATCTAATACATTATCTATATATAAAATATAAAACAGTGATGTTCAAAAGATTTAGCTTAAGCAAAATTCGTAATCTATAAAATAAAAATCAACGGTTTTAACAATGCTTAATATCCTTAACAAATGATTGATAACTAATCAAGTCTGTGTTTGATTACGTTCTATCACATTATATTGGTTAGTAAAAAAATGTTCCAGTTTAAAATAAATCATTTGACACTGTATGACATTCCACACGCACACGCGTTATATAAATATATATATAAATAGATCACATTACAATCTTAAAAAATATATGTATATAAGACAAAATATTTTTTCACTATCTTTTATTATTATTATTATTATTTGTTTTTAAATATACAAATAAAAATTAATTTAAAGTGTAATTTTAAAAATATGATTTCTCTACTAAATATACTCTTAAAGACAATTTGAATAAATAAGCATATTTATTTTCTTTGTATCCAGTCTTCACACAGAATATAATTATTATGATAAAATGTTTAAATTAACAAAAACTAAGTTTTTAACCAAGTTAAAAAAAAAAGTATTAACAGACAAGAGACGAACTTATAGGTAAATGAAATATTGGAACAACAGTTATAGAATATTTTGTTAAACAGAAAAAATAAAAATTATAAGAATAAACCATACTTTGTAAAGAACTACTGGTATGGTTTTTACATTTTAATTATTGCTTTCTACTTTTTCAGTTTCAGAAGTCTCATTTTCAACTGGAACAGTTTCAGTTGCATTTCCAGATGATTCTTCAACTTTCAATTCTTCTTGAGGTTGAGGAGCTTTAATTTCTAAAATAGAAATTGTATCTTGGATAGTTTTGATTGCTTTTTTTCTAGCCGCACGTACATCATCTCTTCCTGTAAAATAAATAACAGATGATTTACATTTTTTATTTAATTTTTGAAGTGTCTAGATGTTAATAATTTTAAATCGATGAAAACTTTGGGCTATTTAAGATAAAGGATGAAATAATTAGTTTTTTGACTTTATTTAATAATATTTTACTTAATTAAATTTTAATATTTATCACACAGCTGTAATATATTACAATTTACACGTTATAATAGATTTGATTAAGAGTCAACATAAACAATTAAAATATACTTTACTGAAACTATATACAAACAACAATACACAATCATGGACTAATTTAATATATTAAAGGAATAGATAATAACTATGCATAAATAGTTTGTGATTAAAATAGCTTAATCATCATAAAATCTAAATCTAGGAATATCCATCAGTATAATAATATTGTCCAAGCCTTGTGGTTATCTATATTCTATAGTAAATAATATTTAATCAATATTGTGATAAATAGCAAAATATATTTAATCAAAATTAATATTTTTAATATTTACACTATAGCATATATTACCTTCAGTTTCAATGGTATCTAGCTTAATCAAATTTCTTGTAAGCATCTCATCCAAATAAATATATTGTTTATCAATACGCGAGGAACCAGAAAATTGATTAACAGCTACTGCTAATTCTTCTACATCAGCTTGAACCATTTGCACTTTTTCCAAGGCATCTATTGGTTTTACTTGTTGGCGTAAATTTGGTGGAGGAGTAGACCTGGTTTCATTTGGAGGGGTTTGCTGATGATGTTGAGAAGGAGGTGTTTGTCGGCGCTGTGCAGTATTTTGATCATGGAAGGAATGATGTGCAAATGGAGTTTGTTTACCAGCAGATCGTTTTGGCAAATTTGAACTATTATTTTCATTGAATCTTTGATCAACATTTTTTGGATACACGGGTTCAGAACGGCCTTCCACATAAATCGGAATGTGTCGCACATTAGGTTGTTGTTTTTGAGTTCCGTGTGATGGCATAGAAGCATCAGTTTGAGGTTGTGTTTGTGTCTGTGGCTGAATATTTTCAGATTGATTATTAATAGGATTTACTGGTGTAAATTCTAATTTAGACACAAATCTTTGAGGTTTATCATCATTTTCCTGAGATCTAGAATTATTTTCGAATGGTTGCTGATTTTGCTTATCCATGTCTTCTTCAAATCGTTTTTTATCAGGACTAGAATCAGTTTGATTTTGATCGTTGTAATTATGGTTAAGATCTGATTGTCCCTCAGGTACGTTATCTTCTCCAGACACAGTACGTTTACGACTCCAATTTTTCGAACTAGGTTCACCTCCCCAAGGTGGACAACGCAAATGGCCAGCAAGATCTGGGTGTCTTTTGGCTAAATCTTCTAAATGCGAACGGACACTCAAATGACCTCTTAGCATGTCATCATCAAACGGAAATTCTTCCTAAAAAATAAAGAACAGTTTAAAAAAAAATGTTTATATAAGTCTCATACAATCATACAACCTAATGCATACGGCCAAAATATAGGATTTATATTAGTTTAATTTTTTTTTTCAAATTAAATTAATCAATAATAAAAAAAAATATATACTTGATTATATTTTTAAGCAATAGTAACTAAATATTACGGAATTATACATGAATAAACAAAATGCATGTAAAATTAATTATATTTGACAGTTCTGATCGTTAATTATGAAGAAATTAATGTCAACCTTACACATTTTATTCACACAATCTGTTTACCAGGGAATGATATTTCGCATATTGAGTTAAAGACTATAGGCTGTGTGTGGGAGGGAAGACCATGAAGATTAGTTTAAATTACAACGGACCACGGTAATGTAATATATATATTTACAAGAGTGCAAATTAATTTTAAAATAATATTTTATGTTAATTGTTGTTATTGCTGATTTAACATTTCATAATCAGTTTAAAAATATAATAATTTTTCTTTATTTTTAAATCAAATAGAACTGGATTATCAGTGACCATGAAATAACTATGTATTAAAATAAAAATTATTTTTGATGTATGACTTTTAAGTTAAATTTCTAAAATAAGATAATTAAATTTTGTTTTAGAAACATTGATCATCTGTAATTTATAACAGTGTTTTCATGCTGTATTCATCACAATCAAATTAATAAATTTATTATTGAAAAGTAAAAACAATAAATTATAGATACGTATATCTTTATATTCTATGACCTATACCACTACAAACATAATCATGATTTTATATTTGTATGAATAAAAATCGTGATAAGTAGTAATATTAATAATAATAATAACAATAATATATTATTATTGTACTCCAAAAATCATGAATTTACGATTAAAAAATTTATTTTATCTATAGTAATTATGTTACAAAACATTTAACTAGTGTCGGCCATCGGGGATTACATGAAATAGAAACACAGCCAAGACTACGATGCCGGGACCCTGGCCAATAATTTGTTGCTAAAAATAAAAAACAAAACCCATTACATATTTCTCTACCAAAGTACTAGAACAATAATTAAGAAATTAAGTCAGGCTGACTACACGTTATTCACTACTTGAATTCGTAAATTACCTAAATACACAAAGAAATAAAAATTTAAGTACATACCACAAAAGCCAAAATTCAAAATGTTTACTACTACAAACTATAAAATACATTTCTTTCATTTTGATAAAAGATATAAATAATTTCAAATAAAATTATCAAAAATCGTGAATATTTATAAATTATACATCAAATCAAAATGTTTTTTAAATTTAATATGTTCCACTAATGTAAAGATCGCATATTGTAAAGGAAGAAAAATATTTTAATGATGGAATAATATACATACGTACATTTTCAGCGTAAAAACACGTAAGAATAATAGTAAATAAAATTTTAGTATTTATTTAAAATAAATAAGTAATAATATGGGTTTAGCCTTATTAATGAAATATAAATAAAAACATATTCTAAAAATATTTATAGACTATATTTTTCTATATATAAAAATATTATTTGCATGAGTAATCTAAACATTGATGAAAAATAGTATATTTTTACTTTACATGATTGATAATAATATATAATATTTAAACCTATCAAATAAGCTAGGTATCTAATTACCATACGTAATACACAATAGTGGGATAATACAATATGTCCTACACAGCTACACCTTATTATTAATTACTACAATTATCAAAAAAAAGATAGTTACCTAATAACCAGAAGTAATTAAAAACTCTGACACAAATTATAAACATGAAAAAAAAAATCGTTAAATATGTATAATACTATTCAGGTCATTTTAAATTATTTGCGACTTATATTTTAACATCAAAACATGAATATAAAACGCTGTTCTAGACAAAAAGTTGGACTGAATCATATGTATATTTTATAGTTATTTTTTTGTAAAAACATAACAAATTCAAGTTTAAAACTTAAGTTAAATATTTTAAATATTCTAGAAACTTTTTAAATTCAATTAATTGATAATTATTACCAAAAAATTAAAACTGTATTTATAATAAAATTCGTTGGAAAAAAAATAATAATTTACAGGTTTATGAAATTTCTATCAAAACATTAAGATTTTGGAAAACCGAGATAGAATTTAATTCTGAATATGACTTAGAAGTATTTAAATTTATCGCATGAATTTTTAATAATAAAAATATTATTATAATTTTTAAAACATTAAATGAAAAATTCCTGATTTTGGTAAATATTTCTAACATAAGTATTACAATAAATATAAATTTAAACAGATAATTATTATACAAGTAAATAATTGAAGTTAGTTGAATTAGGTACAAAAAAATAATATGTTATACTATTTTCTTTAAAATTCACAAAAGTTTGATTAATTATTTTTAATGGTTGATATCACATTTGAATGAATATCCTATAAGTACAAATTATTTATTGTTTGACATTGACATTTAGTCATTAGAGTATTAGATGACAACTGAACATAAACATATATTGATAGTTAAGTTAGGTAAATATTTGAGAAAAATTTACAATTTGTTACTCGAATACTACACTTGTAAAGTCTAAAATTATTTTATTTATATACATAGTAATTTAAACACTTTTAAATGAACTGATAACTAATGCATTATTTGTCAAATAATTAATTTGTTAAGTAATTATGTATACATTATATTTTTCTACTAATAAGCAATATTGTATGTGTAATTAGCTATTCAAATCAAATATACAGTTTATTTTAAACAAATGCTTTGTAATTCCTGAAATAATAAAAAAAAATCTTATTATTTTAACAATTTCAATAAAAAAATCATTACAATTTTTAACAATGATAATTATAAAAACTCTAATTTGATAAATCTAATCTCAACTTAAATGCATCATCCTTAAAATTTAAGAAATGGCAAGTATAAATGTTTAATTAAATTTTTTTAAATGTTAAAATATGGGCATAGATCGTTAATGAAATTTATCAGTCTTCTGAGACCAGATTAAGTCATATAAATTGAGTATTACTCAATAAATCAAAACCCACTATACTCTGACCGTTAAAAGAACACATTGATTTTATACATTGCAACACATTACCATAGTGGAACTATATTCAAATAATAGGTAACATACAATTGGTTTTTTTTATTATTATTGGAAAATAACAAGATGAATAAAATAAATACACAATGTGTTTCATTTATCTTTACTAACTCATAAAAAATTACCACTTAAAACAAATATGGTAGAAACTAGGAAGGATTTCACCCAATAAAAATATTGCCTAATACTTTCAATACATCAATTATTCAAAAAATTATTGTTGGATATAAGATACAATATTTGACTTAAATTAATAATATTTTAAGAAACTGATTACATACCTGTTTTGAAAAATAGTTAATAAGCTATAATAAATATTAAAAACTATGCTACTAATATTAATTAAAACACAATTTTAAAATATAAATGTTGTTTTGAGGATGTAGATAATAATTCTCATATTAGTTTAGTGCTTAAGTGATAAGTAGTAATCCATAGAAACATAATATTATTATAATTAATGTACTAATTGTATATACTTAGATAAATTATATTTAAAATAATAGTTTTAAAAAATAATAATCCATATTAAAAATCACAATAACTTGATTATGTAAAACAAATAAAAATAAAAAGAAAATAAAAACTCAAAAAAAAATAAACTAAGTATATTTCATTTAAACGTAGATATCTTTATTTTGAAAAAAATGCAATTTTTAAATAAAAACTGATATGTTTAATTAAATCGTGATAAATTAAGATTAAGATATTATAAATTTGAGAATAAATTTTTATAACATGTATTTAAGATACTTGAAAATAATGTTATATACAAATATACCATAACATTAAAAATATATTTAAGAAAAAATATGAATACATTTTTTTTAAATATTTAAGTAATGGAGAATTTTTTTTTTTTTTTAAATTAATAAAATATTGTTGGATATTTTTTAACTGTAATGTAATTACTAATATGAAAATATATCACTGGACCCCGATATAATAAATATTTGAACTTACCAAAGTGGAATTATGAGAGGGTGATAAAGGATAAATGACAGGATTAATTTTGGCCGCTTCCATAACATCCAAAAACAGCAAAATATTTGTTACTCACTGAAGAAACACACAAAAAAAAACTTATCACACAACAAATACTAATATATTAGATAAAAATTAAATTGTTAGTCAATACATATTTTTTTTTAAGTAAGAATACACTGGAGAGTAGTAACAACTTCAAACAACAGTGACTATATGTTTATTTATAACAGATTAAAACCATTTTCATTGAAACATTATTGTAAGTGTGTGGGCATAAAATTGTGTAGGCGATAGCCACACCAACTGCTCTAGAATATTCATCAATGAAGAATGCTAGCTAGATTTGTGTGTGCCAAATAAACCATAACCTAATTAAAAGAAGACCTTAATTGGATAAAGTATATATTAAATTAGCTTAACACTAATTAATTTATATCAATGTAAAATCTATAAAATCAATAGAAAATTAATAAAAAAAAAAAAATATGCATATGTAATCATTGCAAGAAAAATGTATTTAATCATCAACAATGAAGTTTCATCTGTACCTATGTTAATAAATGAATTAATTTTTTCTAAAGTTGGGCCACTATTTAATACAATTTAGTTCTTCCAACCTAAAAATATAAAAAACCTAATAATGTTTAACACTCTGTATAGAAATAATATACATAGTGATTTTCTATCAATTTTTATGGTTTGGTAATAAAATTATATTGTAGTGTTGTAATAAAATATAATATAGTACTTTTAACACTATTTTTTTTTAATGCTTTGGCCTACATGCATGTGGTAAAAAACAAAAAAGTTAGTATTTTGTCATATCATAGTATGATAAAATAGCATATAAATTAGAATAAAAACTCCAAGAATGTACTCATATATTTATATAACCTACTGCATAAAAATTAGCAAATAACTACTATTTCACAATTTTAACTTTAAAAAAAATAAAAATAAGATTAGATACTATACTTAGAATGTTGATAAGTAAATATTAATTATAGAGATGTATCTTAAATGTGTATTATGATGTAAAATAGTCAAAAACTATTTCTTCAATATTAAAAAAAAAGTTTGGTTTTTTTTTTTTGCAAAAATATAATAGTTAATAAGCACCTTTATTAAAATAGATAAAATCGATTTTTTAAAGGCTCAACAATTTATAGAAAATTATTGTAAAAGGTTCAATTGATTACATTTTGATAACCTAAGACAAAATTTAAGGCAAAGAAACACATGACTATAAAAGTGAAAATTGAAAAGTTTAGAATTTGTTGAAAAATGATTGTACATTCAAAATATATTTTTTGGTTAATCTAATTTTAATTATCTATAATAAATTATTATGATATACTATCAACATGACACACAGCTAAATGTGAATTATAGTTGATAAAATATTTTCATGTTCTTGGTAATTATACAAATTTAAAATGAGTTGTTCTCAATAATACTAAGATTATTAAAAATATAAAAATGAACCAATTGAAAAGTATAAAATGTTAAAACCTATACCTTAATTTAAATTTAAAATTTAGAATGTACATAAATAATAGAATCCATCAATCATAGTATCATCTCAAAGGGTCATAAATTATTACTTGAATACAGATTAAAGACAATCTCAGAAAAAAATAAATAAAAAACATTTTTACGAAGGTAAAAAAAATAATTAACAGGTACTTTCATTTACATTCTACTTTTCTAATAACTTTTAAATTAATAATTTACAAAACATTTCATGAAGATAAAATCTTAAAAAAATAACTATAATAGGTACCAATTAATTTAGTTAGAAACTAGAAATAATATATGATAAAAATAAAGTAATCTAATTTTAATATTAACAAATATGTGTAAAAAAGGCATAATTTTTATTGAAAAATAGTGAAATAGTAAAGTATAAGTGTAATCAATAATTTTTTAAATTATTAGAATTTTACTTAGCATCGTCCTTAAGAACTTTTCAGACACATGTTGTATACCCACAACTCCATTTAATTATATTCCAACAAAACAAAATAAGCCAGAAAATAAACAATATTCACACAAAAAACACTAAGGTATAATGTATATTAATACGAACGTACCCTTGTAGGAGAAGTCCTGGAGTCAGATTTGTCGAAAAACATGCTATTCTCGCCGGTGTTGCCGAATTCTCTATTGATCTCTTCCAATATTTCGTCTGTGGATTTTCCGCGAATACGATCGCTCAACTTTGACTTATTACGATCCCGTCGATCAGCAAAAGGCATATTACTCTTGACACGGCATCGATCGTACTTGACGCAATTTACGAGAGAATATTTATGAATGTCCGCTAATAGTTGATTGAAACGGCGGCGGACAGGGAATCCGTGCTAACGATTGCCGGAAAGGGTCGAAAACGACGAATACAGATATAAAGGACAACGGTAGGGGTCGGGGTAAGCCTATAACTTTAATGATAAAAATAATAATAAAAACGGTGACCGCTAGAACTTAACGAAACCAAAGCGACCGACGCGACGGTCGGGCCAGCTGCAAATAAAGTACTCAAAGTGTAATGTGTATAACACACGGTTAAGTCGGAAAACAAATAATAATCAGTGAACACTGAACACTGAACAGTGATACAGTAGATACACTGATACGGCGGCGGGTAGACAAATCTAGAAGATTCGAGTAAATCCGATGGGTGCGCGGCGCGGGGAACGTAAAAATGGCAAATCGGACAATCGCGTCAGTCACCCCCCGCCAACCAACACTACGGACCAATGATACAGTGAAATTATATGATAAGTGATAACACAGAATACCAGTACATAGATTAAACATATATATGACCCTCAAAGTACGACCAAGATGATTTTCAGTTTTCTTTATTTTTTTATCAATGGTAAAAATGATAATATCACGGTTACAGTGGTTACAGTCAACTCATTGCGTTGCGTATTACGTACAACGTACATAGTACTATATACATACTCTATAATATAAAGGTTTGAACTTTCAGATGCTCAGTAGTCAGTACTCCGTACTCGGCGTACTCACTAGTCACTATTCACTACTCAGTACTCATGTAGCGCTTTGCCGCCTTAGTGATAGCATGCTGTGATCCTGTACATTCCTTACACAAATTACAATATTATATTTATTTAAATTGTCGTTCTTTAAATTAAATGATTCTACATTACTATATTTTAATATTATATGATATATTATTTACAATTTATTATTTTATGATCTAAGGTAAATTCACCGTTGTTGGTTGTTACCGATCTCGTGAATTGTGTATTAACTATTAAGTAGGTACCTACTTATAATCATGTCGAACGTGGTCGCATGAAATTGGTTAGTTATTAGGTTCAATAAGTTCAAATAGTTAAATTTATTATCATTACCACGTTTTATGATGTACCTAGTAAATAATATTATGTCTAAAATTTAAAAGGTACCTACTACGTTAGATGTGATTAATGTAAGATAATTTAGACTTATATCTCAGAATTTTATGTAATATTATATCATATCACAGAGCTCTGTGTTAGGTATTATACTCGGTATGTCATATCTAAGCCTGTGTTATGACAATAAGATGATGGTAAAAACTGAATGATTACGACTATCCGATCGAAGAAAAATACAAAATTTCTGATTACATAACATATTTCGACTTATCTCGAGATCTAATGATTATTTTTTTTACATACCTACCTAAGAAATATTTAAATGTACAATAGGTATGTAAAATGTAAAGGATAAAACATTTGTTCCAAGCTTAAAAAATCATTAAATAATTAAAATCCATAGGTGCAATAAATACCAATTAGAACAATATTTCTTATAATTATTTAATAAATTTATTATTATTTTTTTCTTGTATAATAAAAACAGAGAAAAAATATTAGGTACATTTGAATCAAAACATTTTTTATTAAACTTAAGTTAAATAAAAAAATAATTACATAATACATAGAAAATGTTGTTATGTAAGAAAATTTTGTTGTACATAAGTAATTTTTTTACAATAAAGGAGGAAAATTTTTTTTTGGATAAGGGCGGAAAATTGTTAAATCCACCCCTGCAGACATTTGTTGTTTCTGTCTTACAAGTGCGTAATATAACAAATTTACGTTCAGTAAATTAATTTTAGTTTCTTAGTTTAAAAATTAGAATGAATCGACCTATAATAAAACTTGATGGTAAGAACATTTTCTGTATTTGAATGTGGGTTTTTTACAATAATTCACATTTTTAGCGAGTTTTGCGTATGTAAAATATAGTAAATTAAAATATTGCTTGTAATTCACTTAAAAAATTGTATTATCGTAAAAACTCACATACAAACACAGAAAATTTTCTTAACATCAAGTTTCATTATAGGTGGATTTATTTTAATTTTTAAACTAACGAAGCTAAACCTAATATACTGAACGTAAATTTACCATGTTACGCACTTGTAAGATAGAGACAACAAATGTCTGTGTAGCGTCCTCTTAATTAAGTCATGGGAGGATATGATTAACCACTGTATCCGAAGCATGTCCTATAAATTACTAATTACAATTTAAATGTTGCGGAGAAAACATGCCACAGTTGTGGTATAAGTCAAGAATCTGCCGGAATATTTTTACTCTTACATCACTTCGGTGGCAGGGTAGAGAATAAAGTTGCAACTTGACGCAAATCAGTTTATTAATTTAGTTTTTAATTTTTTGGTCGGTATTCTGGACAATAACGCGGCAAAGGGACATCGGAGTTAATTACTTTTAAGTTTTATTTAAATGAGATGGGTTGGTAAGGACTATGGAATGAACAATGGATAACAATTTTGGATTAACTAGTATTTTAGTATTTACTATTACGATAAATAGTTAAAAATATGACAATAAATACCTTTTATTAGATTTTGGGTAGACGGACGCCACTGGGCTCACTGTGGTGCTCATAGTGCAAAAACTCATTATAAACGTTTCACGCTAAATTAATAAACCACTCAAATTTTTTCATCCATAATATCTCCTCCTTATCTTTCCTTAGTAATGTTAAACTTCGTATAAAACATAATTGGTCTAGAGATCTTATCTTTAAAAAAAATAAAGTAAATAAAAACAAATATTCTGGGGTGTTGTTAGTGAACAGTTTCCTTTATAAATTAATCATATGCTGTAAATTATAAATACTTGTAACCTACTTACATATTGTTTTAAAAAAAACAGATTGTTAATATTTTTCGTTCTTTTAAAAATAAAATTAAAAAGAAGTATACTCTAATCAAGAAAATGTTCTACATTTAATTTGAAAACTTATTATGTTACGGCTACCTAAAGACTTTTATAATTATTTACATTATAGAGCTGAAAAAATGTATTAGGTGTTTTATAAAATATCTACTAAAAGTAATGTTTGTGAAATTATTGTGAAAACATTTAATTTGAAATCAATTATCTTTCTAATTCCTATTTCCTTGCACTAACATAAATGTTATGATTGATAATCAGTTAAAATTACCTAGTTTGTTAGATTTGGAATTTATACTATCATCACATTTTTGAACAGATACCTGGTTTATAGTTATTGAAAAAAAAAATAGAAAATTATATATATATAATAATTAATATTTATAATTAAATGTATTGTATCATTTATGTAAATAAAATCTATTGGAACTTGTTTATGTGAAGTATTTGTAAGTACTTACATAATAATTATATTTACACTAACCTAAACCTAAGTAATTGTTGTGCTTGTCAACAAGTAACAACTTCATTAAATTATTTAAGTATTACAATATTATATTTATTGTATTTGCAATGTGTATTAATTATATTAAAAAACATTTGAACTACAAACAATTTTTTTTTTATTATTTAAATAGATATCCAATTCTTAATTTTAATCTGTGTTTCTACACTAGGAATTCATTATACAACCCATTGAGAAGTTTAATTACAGGTGGTTGATAGACGGATTACGGATACCTATTAGATACGGAATTAAATTATTAAAGAAAATACTTTACAAAAATATTATCAAACCGTTTTATAGTAAACTCAAAACACGGTTACTTCATTATTTTAATAAATACATAATACATACCTATAGGTAACTGAATTATTATAATTAGTATATGATGTGCGTGCAAACTGAATACTTAGGTACCTAATTAAAATAATGTAATATTAAAAATGAAATATTTTAACCTTCTATTTTGATGGATACATACCTATTATTATTGACCAGCGAAATTTTACTTAATACTAGAATAATAAGTCATATTATAACACCATGCTAATATGCAGTATGCTATCATATACGTTACTAGCCTCTACTAGGATCAGTATATTAATACAAGTAGAGCACCTATACCATAGAATAGAGATTACCTATACCGGCTATACCTACTTTTCAGAATTTTTCAAAAAATTACCACGGTTTTAGACAGACTATTTATTATTTCCCCATACGCTCGTCATGAACTTTGTCACAGCTACATAATTACTGCGAGTAATAGGTATTAGTCATTGCCAGTTCAAGAATTTCCGTATGTAATAAGGTTGGATTTGGCAGAGGGACATTAAGGATAAATGTCGCGCTTTTTTGGAGTCCCCAAAGAATTACTTAAAGTACATTTACCGATAGATTTAAAAAAATTATTAAAAATATTATAGTATAATATGATTGAAACGTATAAGACTTATGTCACACTTATTATATTTATTTTAAATAATCAATGTGATTATGTGATTTGTTTTTTAATGTTATATTGTAGTAATTTAGTATGAAGACAAATTGAGAAGATAAGGAAAAACATGTTCTTATTAAATCCAGCTAGGGGTCCACTATCTTATTTGACTTGCAAGTCAACAAAAACTTTAAACTCGGTTCTGTATGTAATGTATATGTAGATATTTTTATTTAATAAAGTAAGTCTATTGTTTAAATTTTATAATAACTATTAGGTAGTGGCATCACGAAACAGTTTTTTTATTTGGTGGATAGGACCATAGGGGATATACAAATATCTTTAGATTTAATTATAATTATTAAAAAACAGTAATATTATTATTATATTATTATTTATTCAGTGCGATGATCAATTAGCATTTCACTATAAAGTATAGACATATTTTACTTGTTTACTCGGCAGTCGGTACATTATGGGAAACAAAACGCATGTTGAATGTAATAGTTATAAATTAACTAACTGAGAGGACAATATTATATTATTTCCTAATGTCATTTACTCGTACCTATTACTGGAAGTTATAGGTTAAAACATATTTTTTATTATTACTATTATTATTAAATATAACATGTTTTTACACTTAAGTTTTTTTAATACTTTAATTAAATATAATTTATAAACTACTTATGACGGTTAAACACATTACACAACTGCTTGATCTCTATATTTTATAAAATGGGTACCTACATTATGTAGTGATATTCCTAAGAAGGCTCTTGAAGCTTGAATTAAAGGGACAATAATACAATACCTATTTAAAAAGTGTTAATTATTATACTTAAAATAAAATGTTTTTTAATTATATTTTTAAAATTTAAAATATTGCAAAATATAAACATAAAAAGGATTTAAATTTTGGAAAGAATTATAAATATTACTCATATATATAATTTGCTTAAAGTATTTTTACAACACT